AAGCTACTATTGGAGACTTTGAATAGATGCAGAAGGTGCCTCTGCCAAATCCCAGTCATTTCAACCCTCTCATTTCAAGATGGACCATTACTTATCCTCCCCTGACTATGATATGCCTCTCCCAACAGTTCTCTTCCCATCACACACTGGTTTCAGTTGTATCCAATTTCTTCTGCTGTGTATACAACCAACCAACCCATGAGACAGTCTTAAAGGTCTTTGGAAGGTGAAGCAAGGTAATGTCATAGCAGAGGGTTTGCCATAATTTGGTTTGAATGTCCAGCTGGGCTGTTAGTTGCTCCCTTCTCTGATGATTTGTTTCTGAAGATCACCATGAATGGGCTGGGAGTTTCGTTAGCCAATTCCCTAACTACTCTATTAAGAATTTCACCAGGGTCAACCAGTTTGAAAGTATCTGAGTATTTTCTACCTCTTGTTCCAGGGTTTTTGCCTGAGCCACCACCTCATTGTCACACAAGCTGGTTGTGTTTACAGTTTGCTCACAGCTGGCTTTGAAGGATGAAGACAAGTAAATCACAAAACATTGGCGAGCTATTTCCTCTTCCACTTAATGTTGGACTAAACCTTTCCTAAATTTCTCTCCTAGCACACTAGCATAATGATTTCTTGTTACTCTTGTGCCTCGTTCATTGCATCACGCTTTGGGGCCTTGGGGGTTTTGCATCTTGTGCTGTACTTTCATATTGCCCTAGAAACCTCACCTCATTCTCTCTTTCCAGGTGTTTTCTTTTTGTTGTTACTGCCTCTTTTCTTCCTACAGGAAAAATCACTGATTTATTTGCTATTTTATATGTTTTCATTGGGCAACTAATACCTAAACAGTTCTGTCCAGAAGTTTTCTAGTTCCCACAAGCAAATGAGATATTCTGTAGGAAGAATTTCTTTGCTGAAAGGGTTCTCAGGCATTGGAAGGGGTTGCCCAGGGCAGTGGTAGAGTCCCCATCCCTGGAGGGATTGAAGAGTCATGTAGACACAGTGCTGAGGGACATGGGCTAGTCGGGGACTTGTCAGTGTTGGGTTCATGGTTGGACTCGATGTTCTTAAAGAGCTTTTCCAATCCAGGAAATTCTGGGATTCTGTGTGTCTATGTGTTTTGTTGGTGTCCCAATACCCCAGCTCATCATTCCTTCTAAGAACTTGTCCCCAGCTGTGAACATGGACACACACAAACACTTTTGTCATCGTCTGGAGGCTACATCCAGGCAGCCAACAGGAGCAGGCTGTTCAGGACCAGCTGGGAAATGCATCCAGCCTCAGGACTGGACCAATCTTGCAGTCCCATGGACATCCCAGTTGTTTGCTCAGGCTCCCAGAAGAGAGGGTAACTGCCCAAGGTGGGCTGCAGTCTAAACAACTCATCTCTCTGGAGCAGACCAGCCCATTTTATCATTTTCCTTACTATCTGCTCACCCCAGGTAGGGTGCAGGGTTTCTCTCCTCCACATTCCTGCCCCCATAAAGCCCCTGTATCCCCTTGTCCCTCACACTGCTGATATCTACCCAACTTGACTCCTTCTAGACACCACAGGATTATTTGGGGAGAGGACATATAGAGCCTGGAGGTGCTACAAGCAGCATCAACCCAGGGAAACCTTTGCAACTTCCTCCCCATTTTCCAGCCAACTCTGGCTTAAAAATTTAGTGTCTTCAGAGTGGGTCTCCACAATGGGCTGATGTTTTGTGATGTCCCATGGCTTATCTTTTTCTTCCCTAGCAGTGAGCGGTCCTTTGCATGGTGAGGTCGGAGAGCTGCCCTTCCACCAGGAGGAGTTTGAGAAAGTGAAGCGAGGGATTGTTGAGCAATGTTGCCACAACACCTGCTCTCTCTACCAACTGGAAAACTACTGCAACTAACGGCAAGGGCAGTGCTGGGGAACCCATGGGCCAAGGGTAGAAACACGCACTTACGCTACTGCACCTTCAAAGCAATGGAATAAACGTTGTAGATCTATTCAAAGGACTGTGCTGGTTCATGTGTCCTCTTGAGGAGAGGGCACTGATGTTCACTTTAGGGTGGCATCATCTGTGCTTGGGTAAGACTGTTTTAAAAGGTCCTGGAGCCACTCATCACATCACACTATCCTGCTGTTCCAATGAACTCATGGGAGGGAGGGAGGGAGGAGGATGACGCAGTGCTGTAGCATCTACACTGAGCACCCCATCTCTGGTGCTCAGGGGGGCAGGAGGAGAGGGCAGAGAGGTTTGAATGAGGTTTCTCTTTCTAGGGAAATGTTGCAGGGCTGATCAGCTTCCTGCATTTCACAGCCCAAATATAGCCAGGCAGCTGAGAGAGCCAACTTCCTCAGCTGTGTAACGGAAACAGTTCAGATTAAGCAAAGAATTAAGTCATCTATTAATTGTATCCAGAAAAACCATGGGTGACCACCACGAGCAATTTCGAAAGTGTGTCCAGTTCCCCCTTCTGCCCAGGCAGAGTCCTTGTGGTGGAACATGCTTGTTGTTCAGAAGTATCTGACAAATCATGTGCAGAAAGTGGATTTCATCCAAAAGGAGTTTCAAGTGTATCGGCCAAGAGCTGGACACTTCAGGGCAGCATCCCTGCTCCTGTCGTTGGAAACCTCTTTCAAGTATCTGGTCCTAAAATCACCACTTTCTGGGAGAAAAAGCTGCCACGGCAATGCCAGCTGGCTGGGGTGGCAGGGAAGGTGGGGAAGGGTCATGTCCCCCCTGCTGAGGGACTCCCATGCCAACGTAGTGGAAGCCGTGCAGGAGGTCCCTGTGGGGTGGGTGCAGCCTGGCAGAGGTGGCACCTGCATTTTGCTGGTGGCAGATTTTGAAAGCTGGTCTGAGAGGTTGTGGTTTTACCAGCCCCTTTTCCCAAACCAGACCCTACTGCCTCCATTGGAGAGACACAGATTGTGCCCAGTTCTGGGCTCCTCAGTTCAAGAAGGACAGACAGGGATCTTCTGGAGAGGGTCCAGTGGAGGCCACAAAGATGA